TGTGATCCACCCGCCTCGGCCTCCCAAAGTGCTGGGATTACAGGCGTGAGCCACTGCGCCCAGCCCTATTGTTGAGTTCTGTATATATTTTGGACACTGGACTCCCATTCGTGTACACAATTTGCAAATATTTCCTCTCATTCTGTGGGTAGTCTTTTTCCTTTTAAATGTTTTATAACAGGAGTCAGCAAACTTTTACTATAAAAGACCAAATAGCAAATATTTTAGGCTTTGTGGGCCATCTGGTCCGTTTTAAGTGTTTAGTTTGTTGCCAAAGTGCAGAAGTAGCCATAGACAATGTAAATGAATGAGTATGACTGTGTTCCAATAAAACTTTGTATATACACTGAGATTTGAATTTCATATAACTTTCATTGTCTTGATTTTTTCCTCAACTATTTAAAAATGTGAAAACTATTATTAGCTCATAGGCCCTGCTGTGTACTATTTCATCCTATGTATATTTGTAGTGAGTTTGTTGTTTCCTCATAGTGTTATTAAAATAGGTTACTCTTGCTTAACTTTGTGGAATAAAATACTATTTTTATAGCTACCATAATGAATATGTAGAAAATCATCAGAAATTGGGGAAAGAAGAGTAATATCTGAGAATCTTCTAATCATAAGGACTAAGAATACATATGTACTATTCTTTGGTTTTCTTTGGCCCATTTAAAAAAAATAACTTGTCAAACATGAATCGTATCTCTACCTTTATTTAAGGTAGAGACTTTAGTTGTTTTTGCTTACTGTTCTTAATGTTTCTTTCTTTTTTTTTTTGCGTTGGAGTTTTGTTCTTGTCGCCCAGGCTGGAGTGCAGTGGTGTGATCTTTGTTCACTGCAACCACCACCTCCTGGGTTCAAGTGATTATCCTGCCTCAGCCTCCTGAGTAACTGGGATTACAGGCATGCACCATCACACCAACTAATTTTATATTATTGGTAGAGACGGGGTTTACCTATGTTGGCCAGACTGGTCTTAAACTCCTGACCTCAGGTGATCCACCTGCCTTGGCTTCCCAAAGTGCTGGGATTACAGGTGTGAGCCACCGTGCCCAGCCTGTACTTAATGTTGCTCCTGGAGTTGGAATTAAACTTTTCTGCAGTGGTTTGGAGATTTTATGTAGTTCATTCAAAATAACGAACTTTCATTTAAACAATTTCGTGAATGGCTTTTCACTAAGGTAGTCTTTCTTGTCTTTGGCATGTTATACAAGCATGTTTCATGGGGACAAATTTTTTTTTTTTGAGACAGAGGTTTGCTCTTTTTGCCTAGGCTGGAGTGCAATGGCGCGATCTCAGCTCACTACAACCTCCACCTCCTGGGTTCAAGCAATTCTCTTGTCTTAGCCTCCGAAGTAGCTGGGATTACAGGCATGTGCCACCATGCCCAGCTAATTTTGTATTTTTAGTAGAGATGAAGTTTCACCATGTTAGTCCAGCTGGTCTTGAACTCCTGACCTCAAGTGATACACCTGCCTCAGCCTCCCAGAGTGCCGGGATTATAGGCATGATCCACTGCACCCAGCCCTACAAAATTTTATGTAAAGAAATCTAAGATACTTGTAGTAACTGTTTAAAGGAAAGAATTCTATTTATCTCCTGGTAACTTAACAAAATTAGAGTTTTACCCCTTGCTGTTGGAGTAAAAAAAAAAATGTGCATTGCAATGCTTGTATTTTTTTTTCCAAAATAACATTTTGACTAATAACATTGAATCCTTGAATTTAGCTATATGTTGAACATGAGTCAGTGTAAAATTGTATTGCAAATATTCAAGTCAAATTTAAACAACCTTTCAGCAGTAAACAAAGAGGGATGTGATTTGTTGGTGTTTATTGCCTTTCCCTTTGACCTCATTTCCTTAGTGAAATATTTTGTGTTTGTGGTCTCAGGCCAGATTTTCCTGTCACGCCACCTGAACTAGGTCAGAGGCTTCTCTGCCCTTTAATCCTTGCCCTGTTTACCATCACCAGTAACAATCGTAAACTAGTGCCTTATTATAAAGGCATTGACAATCATTCCTGTTGATAGGAAATGGTGGTTATTTATTTAGGCTTGTGTTAGCCACAGATACTTCGAATAGCTTGATCTTTTTCTTTATGTAAGCATTTATTGGTGATCCGTAAATAGAAAACATCAATGAGACCTCTTATTCTTTAAAAATTCCTATTAAAGTTTATCTAGAATGTGTGTGTTTGTTTGTTGGTTGGTTTGTTTTTTAAGATGGAGTCTCTGTAATCCCAGCACTTTGGGAGGCCAAGGCGGATGGATCACGAGGTCAAGAGATCGAGGCCATCCTGGTCAACATGGTGAAACCCCATCTCTACTAAAAATACAAAAAATTAGCTGGGCATGGTGGCGCATGCCTGTAATCCCAGCTACTCAGGAGGCTGAGGCAGGAGAATTGCCTGAACCCAGGAGGTGGAGGTTGCGGTGAGCCGACTGCACTCCAGCCTGGGTAACAAGAGCAAAACTCTGTCTCAAAAAAAAAAAAAGATGAAGTCTCACTCTGTTTCCCTAGCTGGAGTGCAGTGGCGTGATCCCAACTCACTACAACCTCCACCTCCCAGGTTTAAGCAATGCTCATGCCACAGCATCCCAAGTAGCTAGGATTACAGGCACACACAAACACTACAACTAATTTGTGTATTTTTAGTAAAGACAGGGTTTCACTATATTGGGCAGGCTGGTCTCGAACTCCTGACCTCATTGATCCACCACCTCGGCCTCCAAAGTGCTGGGATTCAGGTGTGAGCCACTACGCCTGGCCCAGAATATATTTTTAGTTAGTGTTTTGTTTAAGAACAGAAATATGGCCAGGCATGGTGGCTCAACGCCTGTAATCCCAGCACTTTGGGAGGCCGAGGCGGGTGGATCACCTGAGGTCAGGAGTTCGACACCAGCCTTCCCAACATAGTGAAACCCTGTCTTTACTAAAAATACACAGACTAGTTGGCATGTTGGTGTGCATCTGTAGTCCCAGCTACTCGGGACGCTGAGGCAGGAGAATTTCATGAGGCGGAGGTTGAGATTGCGCCACTCCACCCCAGCTGGGCAAAAGAGTGAGACTTTGTCTCAAAAATAAAAGAAACTTCTCAATTATTAATTAAATCAATTCTCGTGTTTCTGTTTTTTTTTAAAATTCTTGTGTTTTCACCTGTTTTTTTTTTTTTTTTTTAGATGAAGTCTCACTCTGTATCACCAAGGCTGGAGTGCAGTGGCGCAATCTTGGCTCCGTGCACCCTCTGCCTCCTGGGTTTGAGCAATTATCCTGCTGCAGCCTCCAAAGTAGCTGGGATTACAGGCACCTGCTGCCACGCCCAGCTAATTTTTGTATTTTTAGTAGAGATGGGTTTTTGTCCTGTTGGCCAGGGTGCTCTTGAACTCCTGACCTCAAGTGATCCACCCACCTCAGCCTCCCAAAGTGCTGGGATTACAGGCCTGAGCCACTGTGCCCAACCTGAAGTTTTTGTTTTTTTTTTTTTTTAATGTGGAATTGTCTATTTTTTTCCATTTAGATTATTTTGTAAAGACTCAGGTGTGCTTGCTAGTGCAGTTTTCCCTGTAATCTGTGGATATATCATTTTATTTAAAATTTTCCCAAAGGAAAAAAAATTTCATAAAGATTTTTTTTTTTTCTCTGCAGTTCTCTCTTTCTAGTTAGATTACACAGTTTTTTTTCTGAGACCAAGTCTGTCTTTGTCGTCCAGGCTGGGGTGCAGTGGCGCAATCTCACTGGAACCTCCGCCTTCCGCTTCAAGCAGTTCTCCTGCCTCAGCCTCCCGAGTAGCTGGGATTACACGTGACTGCCACCATGCCCAGCTAATTTTTTGTATTTTTTAATAGAGACAGGGTGCGGGGGGAGGTTTCACCATGTTAGGCAGGATGGTCTCAATCTCCCGATTGCTTGAACTTAGGAGATCAAGGCTGCAGTGAGCAGTGATCACACCACTGTGCTTCAGCTTGAGCAGCAGATCAAGACCCTGTCTCAAAAAAAAAAGAACAAGATAAAAGAAAAATAAATCACCTTTAATATTCTGTAACTGATGCATTGGAATTGAGAAATCCTTATAAACACATTCACCCACTGTGTACCCACAAACATTTTTTTAAGAAAAAAGAGAAACTTTTTATCCTCATTTTACACTACCTTTGTATTGCTTTCAGAGGCAATATGATTATCTTCAAATCAGTATGACTGAGAAAGTCATTACTTTGTTAGTTTCTTAGAGGTTTTTTGATCAGAGAAATAGGAACTAGTAAAGAAAATAAAGATATGAAATAATTTTATATATTTACAAAGTCAGGGTTTAAAAAATGCTCATAGATTTAAGAAAATCTAAAGAATATATGTTTTTACATTTTTAGGGATTAAAATAAATTTATCTCTTTCAACTTTTGTATATGTTTGAAATTTTTTTTCTTCTCAAAACCTCCAAAGTGTATGTTTGAAATTTTTAATAATAAAATATTGGAAAAATATATTAATTTTGTATTTTACTTTTTTAGTTTGTTCATTCAAGTATTTCAATAAAATATGATTACTCCATATTCTTTTTTTTTTTTTTGAGAAGGAGCTTCGCTCTTGTTACCCAGGCTGGAGTGCAATGGCGTGATCTTGGCTCACCGCAACTTCCGCCTCCTGGGTTCAGGCAGTTCTCCTGCCTCAACCTCCTGATTACTCCATATTCTTAAAGAGGTTTTAAAATCTTTTTAGTGAATGGAAAGTTGGAAGAATTTCATCCAGTCATTTCTGTTAATGAAGTATATCACAAAATGAAAGAACCTAGTAGGAAATGAACAAAAGGTGGTTAACTGAACTAATCCATCTTTGTAGTATACTTGGTATATAAATGAGGCTGTGTGGCAAATAGAGTGAACAGCAGGCCTACTTTGTGTCAAGTGCATAGCTTTCATTTACAGTGGAGTCTCTGAGGTTAAACACTGTTGGAATTATTTTTTATTTTCCTCTACTTAACCTCTGTTTTCTTTTACAGCATCTACCCGTTTTGTCAAATGTGAAAAATGTCATCATTTTTTTGTTGTGCTATCTGAAGCGGACTCAAAGAAAAGTGTAATTAAAGAACCTGAATCAGCAGCAGAAGCTGTAAAGTTGGCATTCCAACAGAAACCACCGCCTCCCCCTAAGAAGGTATAAGTCTTAAGCTCCATCTTACAAGTATTTTATGTTGTAAACATTGCATTGCTTCCTTCTCCCAAGTTTATATTGAATCCTAATACTAGTATCTAAACAGGTATTATAGATTCATAATATGGACCGTATGTGGCTAAATTTTAATTGCCTTTTGGAATTTAGATATGGGGTCTGTTGCTTTTTCCCATGTCATGATTACTGTATTCAGTAGCAGTGAAATATAGCTGGATAATTATTAAAATGTTAACTTGTTAATTAAAAGTTAAAGTTAATGTGAAATAATATCTTTACAATAGAGCAAGCAGCTTTTGATTTATTTTGTTCATTTGGGCTCTTAAATAACACCAGCCGACTGGGTGAGGCGGATCATGAGGTCAGGAGATCGAGACCATCCTGGCCAACATGTTGAAATCCCATTTCTACTAAAAATACAAAAATTAGCTGGGCATGGTAGTGTGCACCTGTAATCCTAGCTACTCTGGAGGCTGAGTCAGGAGAATTACTTGAGCCTGGGAGGCAGAGGTTGTATGGAGCCAAGATCATGCCACTGCATTCCAGCCTGGTGACAGAGTGAGACTCTGTCTCAATAAAAGAATAATAATAGTAGTAACACCAGCCTAGGCTGGTCCACTTGACTAGCCTTAAAAGAAAAACAAAAAGCCTACAGTTGTCTTCCTTAAATTGGTGTATTGTATGGTAGAACAGCCTTCAGTCTAACAATATAAGCAAGTAATTTTTTTCATGGCCAGTGTCCTAGGGCTGCCCCTTATAGCACTGTGGCTTTGGTACTGTGGACTCTTTTTAGGAGTCTCAGGTAGATTATAATTTGGTCCTGTGAAACATAACAGAATGTACCATCAGCCCCATTGGGTGCTTGGTGTGTGCTTTTGGAGAACTGGGAGCCCTTGTACCCTGGCCGCGCGCTTTCTGTTCTGGCTGTGTCTCAGATGTTTACACACTTAGATCATTTATCACTGCCTCAGTGTATCTTTTTCTACTGTGTTTAGATAGCAGTGCATTTGTCTCTACTTCCAAATATGCTGTGATAGATTTAATGTCATTGGTATAATTTGCTAAGAATAAAGATGTTTAAAACTATAATACAATCTATGTGCTCAACAACTAAAGAATTTGTCATGTAAAAATAATGGGGCCAGGTGCTGTGGTTCACACCTGTAATCCAGCACTTCGGGAGGTCGAGGCAGGCGGATCACAAGGTCAGGAGTTCAAGACCAGCCTGGCCGACCTGGTGAAACCTTGTCCCTATTAAAAAATACAAAAATTAGCCGGGCATGGTGGCAGGCGCCTGTAATCTCAGCCACTCAGGAGGCTGAGGCAGGAGAATGTCTTGAACACAGGAGGCGGAGGTTGCAGTGAGCCAAGATTGTGCCATTGTACTTCCAGCCTGGGTAACAAGAGCGAAACTCTGTCTCAAAAAAAAAAAAAAAAAAAACCAAAACAAAACAAAGGAAAATACAGCGCTTGGGCTTCAGGTTCTATATGAATTTGTGTAGACTTCAGACACCTGAGTAAAAATTCCAGGCAGTTTAACTATTTTCAGGAGTTTGTGAATTATTTATTTATTTTGAATCAGGGTTTCACTATGTTGCCTGGGCTGGAGTGTAGTGGCATGCTTATGGTTCATTGTACCCTCAACCTCCCTGGGCTTAAGTGATCCTTCTACTTCAGTTTCTACAGTAGCTGGGACTGTAGGCGTGTGTCACCATGCCCAAATAATTTCTGTAGAGATGGAGTTTCACCATGTTGCTCAGACTGGTCTGCACCTACTGGGCTTAAGTGATCCATCTGCCTCAGCCTCCCAACTTTGTGCGGGGATTACAGGCGTGAGCCACCATGCCCAGCAGGTCACCAACCACTTCATTTCTATTCACTAAAAACTTAAAAAATTTACCTTAGGTTCCAAACTGTTAGCAATAACCAACTATAGAATAGAGCTTTAGCTTCTATTAAAAATAAAGTTTTAGGGCAGGGTGCTGTGGTTCATGCCCATAATCCCAGCACTTTGGGAAGCCAAGGCAGGAGGATCGCTTGACCCCAGGAGTTCAAGACCAGCCTGGCCAACACCGTGAGACCCTGTCTCAAGAAGAGAAAAAAATATATTTTTAGAAAATTAAAGCCGGGCGCGTTGGCTCATGCCTGTAATCCCTGCACTTTGGGAGGCCGAGGCAGGTGGATTACGAGGTCAAGAGATCGAGACCATCCTGGTCAACATGGTGAAACTCCGTCTCTACTAAAAATACAAAAGAATTAGCTGGGCATGGTGGCGTGTGCCTGTAATCCCAGCTACTCAGGAGTCTGAGGGAGGAAACTGAACCCGAGGCGGAGGTCGTGGTGAGCCAAGATCACGCCATTGCACTCCAGCCTGGGTAACAAGAGCGAAACTCCATCTCAAAAAAAAAAAAAAAAGAATAAAGTTTTTAGAGTCTCATTTAGATAAATGAGTAGCTTTAAAGTTAATATCTGAGAAAAAACTAAATGTGTTAAAACACATAGATACTGATAGTGTAATGACTTTTGATTATATAATACCTGTTTCTGAAAAGGGTTTTTTATATGTTATCCTTATGAAGAATATTAGTCATTTGATAGGTATAGATTTATTTTAATGATTTACATTAATGTTGATACTTTTAGACCCATGGTGGCATGTGTGTGTATTCTAAATTACTGTAATACTAACTTTTTATTAAAAAATTAAGATCGATAGCATTGTTTATAGAATAGAAATTAGCATAACACTAGTAGAGTACAATTAGACGTCGTTAAGCTAGAGAACAAATGAATGTGTTTTTGTTCATTTAGTGTTTAGGGACTCTGAATCATTGCTATATAATGTATCATACCCTTGTCATTTTATTTTTAATGAGAGAGTTTGTTCAGATTTAAAACTGTAAGCAAATATGTTTAGCATATACCTTTTTAATGTGTGTGCTCTTACAATAGCTCATAGTAAATTATTTACACCTAATTATTTTTCAGATTTATAACTACCTCGACAAGTATGTTGTTGGCCAGTCATTTGCTAAGAAGGTGCTTTCAGTTGCTGTGTACAATCATTATAAGAGAATATATAATAATATCCCAGCTAATCTGAGACAGCAAGCAGAGGTTGAGAAGCAGACATCATTAACACCAAGAGGTAGCATATTTGATAATTGACCTAAATAGAGATTGCTATGCTTAGAAGTAGTTTTTATTTGTAATTCCTAACTTTCTTCTTAAAATGCTTTTTATTTAATTAGTGCAGCATTTTTTTTTTTTTGAGATGGAGTTTCCCTCTTGTTGACCAGGCTGGAGTGCAATGGTGCAATCTGGTCTCACTGCAACCTCCGCCTCCCCGGTTCAAGTGATTCTCCTGCCTCAGCCTTTCCAGTAGCTGGGATTATAGGCATGCGCCACCATGCCCAGCTGATTTTTGTATTTTTAGTAGAGGTGGGGTTTCACCGTGTTGGCCAGGCTGGTCTTAAGCTCCTGACCTCAGGTGATCCACGCCCAGCAAAGCGCAGCATTTTTCAAAGTGCAGGTTACTTCTCATTAGTGGATCATGAAATCATTTTAGTAGGTTGCCAGCAGCATTTTTAATAAATTTGATAGGTGTGAATAGAAAATACCAGAATACATTAACTTATAGTTAAGGTAAATATTATTTCTTAGGCCGGGCACTGTGGCTCATGCCTGTAATCCCAGCACTTTGGAGGGCGAGGTGGGCAGATCACTTGAGGTCAGGAGTTCAAGACCTGCCTGGCCAACATGGTGAAACCCAGTCTCTACTAAAAATATGAAAATTAGACAGGCATGGTGGTGCACGCCTGTAGTTGCAGCTACTTGGGAGACTGAGACTTGAGCCTGGGAGGAATGGTTTGGGAGCCTGGGAGGAATGGCTTGAGCCTGGGAGGTGGAGGTTGCAGTGAACTGAGATTGCACCATTGCACTCTAGCCTGGGCGGCAAGACTCCATCTCAAAAAAATTAAAAAAACAACTAATGTTTTCAGTGATGCGTGCATGGGTTCTGAGTCACAAAAATATACTGCTTATTGAGGGTCCTAGTAAAAAATGTTTGAAAGCCACTGGGCTAGAAACTGAGACATCCTTTTTGAATTACAGATTTCACCACAACCAGTTCCCCGTGATGGATCTTTGCAATGCTCTGTGCAACTCAGTTCTCTTGGGTTCAGGATACAGAATTTCATTTGCCTGTGTTAGTGATGTGGAGATAAAAACTTAATATATTCAGCATTTGTTTTTCTTTGGGTCCTAGCTACAGAGTGTGTTAAATTTAAGGGCAAATTTGTAAGTGATTCAAAGTGCAATTTCTATTAAGGATAGGTTCTGATATACTAGTATACTGTATAATCTCAATTTGCTATGGATAATAATGTATATTAATAGAATGATTTTATTAAAAACATTTATGAATAGAGTAAATGAAAATAAGTTTTTGTATTGTTGACCAGACAACTCTGATTTCGGCCTACATTCCATCATTTTAGATTCTTTTAATTATCACTGTACAGTATGAAGAGTTCTGCTAAGTACATAAATTTATAAATCTGCATTATCTTTGATTACCTTTAGTAGCTACTAAATGTGTAATTTATTTCAACGAAGACACTTGTTCACTTGTTGAACTTACGTCACATAACTTGCAAAATAGTTCTGTGATAGTATCAGTTATTTTTAGCAAGTACAAGTCATAACTAATGGAAGACTTGGAACTTTTTTTTTTTGAGACAGAGCCTTGCTCTATCACCAGGCTGGAGTGCAGTGGCGCAGTCTCAGCTCACTGCAACCTCTTCCTGGGTTCAAGCAAGTCTCCCGCTTCAGACTCTCGAGTACTTGAGACTACAGGCAGGTGCCACCATGCCCAGCCTATTTTTTTGTATTTTTAGTAGAGATGGGGTTTTACCATGTTGGTCAGGATGGTCTTGATCTCTTGACCTCATGACCCACCCACCTTGGCCTCCCAAAGTGCTAGGATTACAAGTGTGAGCCACTGTGCCCGGCCCTTTTTTTTTTTTTTTTTTAATGAAAATTTTTATTTTCTTCATAGCATTTGCTCCTGAAGGAACTTTTTTTTTGAGATGAGGTCTCACTCTCTCACCCAGGCTGGATCACAACTCACTGCAGCCTCAACTTCCCAGGCTCCAGGGATCCTCCCATTTCAGCCTCCCAAGTAGCTAGGACCACAGGCATGTGCCACCATGCCTAGCTAATTTTTTTTTTTGTATTTTCGGTAGAGATGGGGTTTTGCCATGGTGCTCAGGCTGGTCTCAAACTCCTGGGCTCAAACGATCCACCTGCCTCAGCCTCCCAAAGTGCTAGGATTATAGGCATGAACCCCTGTTCCTGGCCTGAAATCTTTATTTTTATAAGGTCCAAATAGTGCTGATGTTATGGAGCAAAACTTTTTTTGTTTTCTTCAGTCAACAGATAAGTATTTAAGCTATTCTAAGTGCTGGTAGAGCAAATAGTTATATTTTTAGCATGAGGGGCTTAAACTCTTACTGAAGATTTAGGTTATTATACCCTTATAATACATATCAATTTTATATTTGACAAATGTGAATATTAGCAGCTGGACAACTATCATTAAGCATGTATAATTTATTTCTATATTTCTTTTAATACAGAAAAGATAGAGTGTATAGACTCATAATATAAAAAGCTGAAAAAAATGTTAGTAAACACATCCTTTAAATATATTGGGAAGAGGACAGGAGGTAGGATATTCATTGTTTGTTCCCCCAAAGTAAACAAATATGTAATATTTTCATCCTCTTTCTTAGAGTTAGAAATAAGAAGACGGGAGGATGAGTACAGATTTACAAGTAAGTGACTTCAGGTCCTCCTCTGTAATCATTCTTCCTTTTGACATTTATTTCAGTGAACTGTTTCAGCAGTAACAGTAATAGACATATATGTATTTGCTTGTGTCTTACCAAGAAAGATACATATTATCTAAATGTGTTTATCATACATCATGGCATATATAACTTTGGAGTAGTTTTTCTTTTTTCTTTTTGAGATGGAATCTCACACTGTGGCCAGACTGGAGTGCAGTGGCGTGATCTTAGCTCACTGCAATTTTTGCCTCCCAGGTTCAAGCGATTCTCCTGACTCAGCCTCCCGAGTAGCTGGGACTACAGGCACACGCCACCATGCCCAGCTAATTTTTATATTTTTAGTAGAGATGGGGTTTCACCATGTTGGCCGGGATGGTCTCAATTTCTTGACCTCATGAACTGCCCTCTTCGACCTCCCAAAGTGCTGGGATTACAGGCATGAGCACTGCACCCAGCCTTGGAATAGTTTTTCATAGCTAATTTGTGTCATTTCTATATGTTGGGTTATTTTTTATTTTTTCTATCAAACTACAATTACAGTTGGCCTGCTTCTTTTGGGTCACAGGAATTTGGGGGAGGCAAATTATCTTCTAGCTGCTCTTTGCCAGAAACCACACTGTTTCTTTTTTGGTATTTATGAAACTTACAGTGTTACAGATGACAAATAAGCCTTAATTCAGTGTTTCCAGCCCCTGGATTGCCCCTGTAAATATCAGATGGTCCAATGGAGGGTGTGGAAGGATTTGATACACCAAGGAGAGTGGCCCTTCTGATGTCTTCCACCTATTCCTTTGGAGGTGGACATAGTTGCTGCATAGAGGGTGGAGGTTCCAGGGATATCATAGAAAGATGCACAAGGCCTTTTGTTTGAGTAATTGAAATAAAGAAAATTAGCTAATTTGCCTTTGAACCAAGTAGTATTACAAATCCACTATTTGAAGTGTTCTATATACAGGATGAGCCATAAGAATATAACATGTGTTACCAACTTGGGCATTACATTTATCACATGTAATAAAATTACATTATCCCTAGTTATTTTTTTATCCCCAGTTGTTTTTAAGTTTATGGAAATACTGATTATACCATGCATGGTCAAATTAAGAAATACGATAAGTACAATATAATTAGATTGTATATAAGAATATGAGATCTAAATAATAAACTTTAGATATATATGTAATTTATATTTCATAATGAAAAAATATGTTCATATATGCAGTCAATACCATACTCATAAATTTGTGTTGATGGCTAGTGAAACTATACTAAATTAGTAAAGAAATTCTATAGTGCATGTTTTGAAAGACATGTCATGTAATATATGTCGTGATTTAATGTTACTTAAATGTTAAGTAACAGTACTTAAGAACTTATGTAAAAGCAATTTGTAATTATATTGATTGACTTAGAAACAAATAATTTCAAAGCTTAAATTTATTGTCTTGTACAGTTTTGTTGTGTTTTATGGGGGATTTTAAGTTCTAAAGTTAGGTTGTTAACCAACACTGACCTGTGGTATTAGACCCTAATAGTGGTCTAGGGTTTTAGACCAAAATCATGTATAATAAAAGTTAATTCTTATAAATCCCTTTTCAAGTTAAATTTTAGAGACCAACATACAACTTCTAGGAAGAATGACACACTTGGCTTTTTTTTCTCCTTCTTTGGAATATAGTGTTGTTTCTTAACTTGAGCACCAGATGAAATACTTGGTTTGCATTTCAGGGCTATGTTGTATGAAGAGTTAAACGCGAGGGAAATCGTAATAATAATAGCAGATTCTTCTATAACACTTACAAAATGATCTGCCAGGCATTGTTCTAAGTGTTTTACATATATTAATTCATTTAATTACCTCTAAAGCCATGAGACAGAAACTACTGTTTTCATTGCCATTTTAGAAATAAGAAAACTGAAGCACAGAAATTTTAAGTAGTTTGTCCATGGCCACACAGCAAGGGAGTTCTGTGCAGCTAACTGCTCCACTAGCCTGCTTGCTCATGGTCCTCATTTTAGAGATCTGTGCTTACGCAGTGAGAGATGCACAAATAGAGACTAACTGAAAGAACAGGAGAGTTGTCTCAAGTTTATTCTAAGGCATATGTATTATGTGGCTCCACTGTAATTAATATGCCTCTTGCAATTTTGTTCATTAATTTGCCTAAATCATTTGTGTGTGTGTGTGTGTGTGTGTGTGTGCACGAGAGAGAGCGCGAGAGAGAGCGCGAGAGAGAGAGAGAGAGAGAGAGAGAGGGAGAGAGGGAGAGAGGGAGAGAGAGGGAGAGGGAGGGAGAATGAGTGAATGACAAGCACCTGCTGGTCTTGCTTTTCCCAAGCTACATCTAAATCATTTTTTTCCTTTGGGCAGAGCTAAATATAGCCACACCTCTTCCTATGTTATCCCAATCCCTAACCAGATTTTGCTGAAATTAAAAAAAATACTTCACTAGTGACAGTTTAACCTCATACAGCAGACTGAGTTTTCTTGGTTGGTATGGATTATAATGAGGCACACCATTGTGAATTTTTAACTAATTATTAACCCTCAAAGGTAGCACAGTTTAATTCAGATGTTTATGGAATTTTTATTATTTTTGATGAATAGAATAAACCCTTTACACTAACAATGAAGATAGTTCGAAAGTGACAGCCAGATGGAATAGGACCATGATAATAGATATGTCTGCTGAACTATTATTTTATCAATTTAATTAAAATAATCCATTGGAAAGTCTGATTTTCTTAACCCATTTCTTAGAAAATAAAATTTAGGTCTGGCACAGTGGCTCACACCTATAGACCCAGCACTTTGGGAGACTGAGGCGGGCAGATCACCTGAGGTCAGCAATTTGAGACCAGCCTGGCCAACATGGCAAAACTCCATTTCTACTAATAATACAAAAATTAGCCGGATGTGGTGGCGTGTGCTTGTAATCCCAACTGCTCGGGAGGCTGAGGCAGGAGAATCACTTGAACCCAAGAGGCAGAGGTTGTAGTGAGCCGCGATTGTACCACTGCACTCCAGACTGGACAACAGAACAAGACTCCGTCTAAAAAAAAAAAAAAAAAAGAAAAGAAAATTTAAAAATAAATTTAGAAAATATAAACAAGTATGTTACAACGACAGGTACTCAAATGCTAAGAACCAAGAACAATCAGAATATTTACAAATCTGGATAATCTTTCCCTCAGCCAAGAGAAAGTAAGAATAAAGATTTATCGTTTTAGGAACCTGGCTGATAAACTGGTATTTCACTAGCTGTCAGTCACATCTAGTTAAGTGTTATGTCTCTAATAAAGGGACTAGAAAGATCCAGTACAGGTCCAATAAAATTAGAGATTTAGATAGGGCCAGAGACAGTGAGATCTACCATCTTTGGTTTCTCTAGTAGATTTTATTGATTATGAAGCAGAAACAAAAAGTTTATATGACTTGCCCTAGATCATATAGCTTCTACTTAGAGACAAAGGAAGGTACAGAGCTAAAGCTTTCTAACTCCTGGCTCTGCTCGTCCATTGCACTGCCTTCCCTTGGGTGAAGGAGTATTCTTACATATTTATATAAATAATGACATGAAAGAAAATCAATTTCCTTTTCTTAAGGTTCTTTATATAATCATTGGGTGCTATATGTTTGTCACTAGATAATTTGGGATTTTTCTTCTTTGGAAGTAAGACAATGTCAAAATACTTAAATTTTTCTACATAGATGTTCAGTTTTAGATAAAAGTTTTTATGGGACCTTTTTTCAAGTAAATTCAAATGAAGCTCAAGTAATTCCTTTGGTATTTTTTTCAGAATTGCTTCAGATTGCTGGAATTAGCCCACATGGTAATGCTTTAGGAGCATCAATGCAGCAACAGGTGAATCAACAAATACCTCAGGAAAGACGAGGAGGTGAAGTATTGGATTCTTCTCATGATGACATAAAACTTGAAAAAAGTAATATTTTGCTGCTTGGACCAACTGGGTCAGGTAAATAACTTGCTGAGAAAATTTACTACTCGTTTTAAAAATCAGAATATAAATGATGGTATAATCTGTATTTTATGATTGAGGTATTATGGCTTTGAGAAGAAAATCTTAAGTCCTGTTGTCTGGATAGGTTATCAATATTCCTGCATAGAATACAAACTGAATTTGAGGCATTGGTGTTGCCCACCAGGCCAGTCCCTAACATCTTAACAGGAATAATAAAGTAAAAAACAATTATATCTAAATAATAATAGGCCAGATGTGGTGACTCACACCTGTAATCCCAGCATATTGGGAGACGAAGGTGGGAGGATCACTTGATGCCAGGAATTTGAGATCAGCCTAGGCAACATAGCAAGACTCCATCTCTACAAAAAATAAAGTATTAGCTGAGTGTCATAGCACGTGCCTGTAGTCCCAGGACTTGGGGAGGCTAAGGCAGGAGGATCACTTAAGCCCAGGAGATTGAGGCTGCAGTGAGCCATGATCACAGACTGCACTCCAGTCTGGGTGGCAGAGCAAGATACTGTGTCTAAAAAATAATATCAGAAAAAGGATGTAGCAGTTGACAACTTTTTATTATATACTACTAAAATTTATTTTACATTTTTATTTGAAAAATTGTGTGCCAATATATTTTTAGTAAACTTTTAGTTACTGTTTCTGTTTGTAGGTAAAACCCTGCTGGCACAAACCCTAGCTAAATGCCTTGATGTCCCTTTTGCTATCTGTGACTGTACAACTTTGACTCAGGCTGGATACGTGGGCGAAGATATTGAATCTGTGATTGCCAAACTACTCCAAGATGCCAATTATAACGTGGAAAAAGCACAACAAGGTATGTTTTCAACATGGTCTTTCTCCAGATTTAGTATACTGGGGAATCAGTCCAACATTAAGAGACAATATAATTCTTATTTTGAGTCGAGGACTAAAATTCTGTAATTACATAAAAGTGCCTAAGTTAAAAAACAAAAAACAAAAACAAAAAAAAAAGTGCCTATGTTACATGATTTCTAGCATACTGATCAAGGGCCACATAGTTTGCTTTGCCTTATTGTCACTAAGCTGGCTGGTAGGGTAAAAACAGGCCAAATTGTCTGGGCATGGTGGTTTATGCCTGTAAAGCATTTTGGGAGGCCGGTGGATCACGAGGTCAGGAGATCAAGACCATCCTGGCCATGGTGTAACCCTGTTTCTACTAAAATACAAAAAATTAGTTAGGCGTGGTGGCGTGTGCCTGTGGTCCCAGCTACTCAGGAGGCCGAGGCAGGAAAATCGCCTGAACCCGGGAGACGGAGGTTGCAGTGAGCCAACATCGTGCCACTGCACTCCAACCTGGTGACAAAGCAAGACTTCGTCTCAAAAAAAGAAAAAACCGAAACGTGCCAAATTACTATCCTATTAGATCTTTAATACTTAACATTGCTTTTCTTGTTTTAACTCCCCTCAAGACTCCTAATGCTTAGATTAAGACAGGGCAGGGCAGGAGCAAGGGTGGAGAGTACCAGATGACTCTAGAAACAGTTTAGCTTGTTGACCTACAGAATGTCATGGATGCTGCATTGCTTCTTCATCTATCATCTGTTGTTGTTTACCTGAAGAGTCTGTTCAGATTCCTTTAAGACAAGAATATAGGTGAGAAAGAGTAACCTAAAGTTTTGCTAATACTAGCACTGCAGATACCTCCTGCTAAGATACTATAAAGAATTCAGCCAGGTGCGGTGGCTCACGCCTATAATCCCAGCACTTTGGGAGGCCGAGGCCGGTGGATCGCGAGGTCAAGAGATCGAGACCATCCTGGTCAACAAGGTGAAACCCTGTCTCTACTGAAAATACAAAAATTAGCTGGGCATGGTGGCGCGCACCTGTAGTCCCAGCGACTCGGGAGGCTGAGGCAGGAGAATTGCTTGAACCCAAGAGGCAGAGGTTGCAGTGAGCCGAGATCACGCCATTGCACTCCAGCCTGGGTAACAAGAGCGAAACTCCGTCTCAAAAAAAAAAGAATTCATATACATTAGTGGGGCAAATAAACATTGTCAAGGAGATTTTGTTGTTATACCTAAATATTATTCTATAAAGCAAATTACAAAGCAGTTGTACAGAATGATGGATGGGAGAAATAAAAGTAGATTTTTATAATAAGCTGTTGCATGTGTTAAGTATGAAAGATCAAATAACCTTGCTGTCTAGCTGCCTAGTCTTTTTAAAGCTGAGGCTATCTTGTGTATATATATTTTTTCATATTATAAATAGAATCCTCCTTAAATTATAGGAATTGTCTTTCTGGATGAAGTAGATAAGATTGGCAGTGTGCCAGGCATTCATCAATTACGCGATGTAGGTGGAGAAGGCGTTCAGCAAGTAAGCAGTTGAATATTTTGTTCAAGCCCACTAAAAGGAAGGGAATACATCAGCTTCCCAAATATTGTACGTTTGGTTTCACATTCAATTAGATTCTGTTTTATTTCTTCCACCCCCAAACTCCACATACCATTTTGAAGTAGTTGAGATCCTCAAAGAAAGTTGTTGACGATTTGAAATAACTAATTACCTTGTTAGGAAATTTAAAATATTTTGAAGAACAGAAAAAATGAAATTTAATCTTTGCTTTTTTTATTCCTCAAAGGCTCAGTTCAGCATTTTTAGAAGACTCTTGAAGAATGTTATGATTCTAACTAGACATGAATGAACTATGTACATGCTTCTTATTCCTTCCAATTAGTTAAAAGATAGGTATAAAATAGTGTTTAATTCCTTGCAGAGCCATAATTGAAGTCATAATGATCTATTGGCCAACTTGACCTTTTAATGGTAGCTAATTATGACATAAACTATTAGAGGGTGAGGAAAATTGTATCACTTTTTGACAGAGACATAGGTATAATCACAGTAATGTGCTGGAATTTTTTTTATAAAACCATCTTCAAATATAGGTAGTCTCAAAGTTTAATACTGAAAGTGGAATAGAATTTTAATTTATGTGAAAGACACGTCATCAATTTCTTATTACCTGACCCCGCCTCCTAATAATACAGGGCTAGGATTTCAGCATACAAATTTGGGGACATTTACATATTTCTACCATGTTTGAACCCCATTTTATACAGTCCTAATTCTGTCTTTATGTCAGAATTATGTCTTTACTATCAAAAACAACCTCTGAGGTTGACTGCTTTCCTGAATTACAGTGCATCAGTTCTGTAACCATTTCAAATAAATTCATTATTAATGTGATAAATACATTAGCTTCTCTTATTATAGAAATACAAGAGTTTGATTAGTTATGTTCATTGACCATAATCACATTGTTTTCCCCATTGAATACTATTGTCTAAAATATAATGAATGATGAATGCACTTATAAATATGGTGATGCTATAAATCATTTGTTCTTTAGGGCTTATTAAAACTACTAGAGGGCACAATAGTCAATGTTCCAGAAAAGAATTCCCGAAAGCTTCGAGGAGAAACAGTACAAGTTGATACAACAAACATCCTGTTTGTTGCATCTGGTGCTTTCAATGGTTTAGACAGAATCATCAGCAGGAGGAAAAATGAAAAGGTAAGTTTTTCTGAGGGGTTACTAGAAGGATAGAGAGCATTTAAAGAATGTACACTTAGTTTCTGTTCTCATATCTGCGGGCTACCAGTCATCATTTTTTAAGAGTTGGGTTTTCTTAGAAAATATCAGAAATATACAGGACTGGGCACAGTGGCTCATGCCTGTAATCTCAGCTCTTTGGGAGGCTAAGGCGGGTGGATTGCCTGAGCTCAGGAGTTTGAGACCAGCCTGGCCAATATGGCCAAACCAAAGAAAAATGTACGGTAAGTCCTCACTTAACGTCCTCCCATAGGTTCTTGGAAATTGCAATGTTACGTGAAAAACTAATTTTTCCTTATCAATTTTATAAGGAAATGATATTGAATAAAATGACATTATTGGAAGACATGTTGTACGGTGTTTTGCTTAAAGTTGGAGTTTCCAAGAACCTATCAACAATGTTAAGTTAGGATCCTAAATATCATCTATATATGAGCATTTTGTTTGTTTGTTTGAGATGGAGTCTCGCTCTGCCATCAGGCTGGAGTGCAGTGGTGTGATCTCGGCTCACTGCAGCCTCTGTCCCCTGGGTTCACAAGTGATACTCGTGCCTCAGCCTCGCAAGAAGCTGGGATTACAGGCATGTGCCACCACAGCAGCTAATTTTTGTATTTTTAGTAGAGACGGGGTTTCACCATGTTGGCCAGGATGGTCTTGATCTCCTGACCTCATGATCTACCCACTTCGGCCTCCCAAAATTCTGGGATTACAGGCATGAGCCACTGCGCCTGGCCTGTGTAGGCATTTTAAAAGTGTAACTTGATGAGTTCAACTTAATACTTTATCTAGGGAGTTCGTTATTGGGGTTGCTGCATCAGTAAAATTTCTATTTATTCCCCCTGCCCAATTCACTGGAGCCCAATAAAGTTTATCTCCATTGCCCTTGCTCATAGAGTCTACCATAGATCACTGCTGACTTTCACAAATGGAGGGGAACATTTTGGCAGATGCGGGAAGGGTTGTGATCCCACCTAGTTTTATAGGTGTTTCTTCTTAACGGCCTCTACTTTTAATTGGGTCTGTGACTTGTTTCTTCATATCCTCATAATACATGCCCAATACTAATTTTTTTAATGATTACAACAAAATGTAACTTGAGAATAGTGGCAGAAAGCCCAGAAAACACCTGTATTTTCCATGGTTTTTGTAGTTTGCATGATAGCCCCAAGTGATCACTTTGTGTTTTATAACATTCTATTTGAAATCTGTATGTTAGATCGGCTGTCTTCTTGGCCTTAAATGTACCAGTTTAAGTAGTAGTTTAGTAATAGTAAAAAATAATAATCATAATTATAATGCTGCTAATGGTGTGGTTGCCCATAGTAATTCCTTTGCCTAGCCTAGGTGAGGAAACACTTAGAAATACTAACTGTGCCACGTAATTATTGTTATTCCTCAGTACCAAGCCTTATTCAGCATGGATATCATTAGATTTTTATTTTTCTGCTAATTTATGCAGAATTTCAACAACAGCCAAAACATAACTTAATATGAAAATTTGTTTTTTGTGTCATTGAAATTCTGCATAAATTAGCCTAACAAATTAGAAAGAAGAAATTATTTCTTTGGGGGATGTGTGTGTGAAAGAAAGATAACATTGTATTTGAAATTCTGTAAAAGCAAAGACCATGTTCTAATATTTATTTTTAATTAATACTTCTTTATACTTCCAAAAAGGATTTGAAGCTAGAAACATATAGGACAGAAGATTTAAAAATAATGTCAGAAAAAGAATCAGAAGTCTATAGAAGGAAGGTTTAATTGTAGTTCTGTTTTGTTGAGAATTAGGTCACTCCATTTAGCTGTGAACTTTATTAATGAAAATTAGGGGAGCAATCATGGGCTCTAGTTCTTACTACCTTGACTGAAGGAGGCTCCATATGCCTTCCATATGCTCTAGTTTTTATTACCTGGCCCTACCTCCTAATAATACAGCGTTAGGATTTCAACATACAAATTTGGGGACACTTCAATATTCAGTCCATTGCAGACATATTTTTTATTTTTATTTTTATTTTTTGAGACAGTCTCACTCTGTTGCCCAGGCTGGAATGCAGTGGCATGATCTCAGCTCAATGCAACCTCCACCTCTGAGGTTCAAGTTATCCTTGTGCCTCAGCTTCCCTGGGATTATAGGTGCACACCACACTTGGCTAATTTTTGTATTTTTAATAGAGAGGGGGTTTCACCATGTTGGCCAAGCTGCTCTTGAACTTCTGACCTCAAGTGATCCACCTGCCTCAGCTTCCCAAAGTGCTGAGATTATAGGTGTGAGCCACCATGCCCAGCCTGCAAACAGATTTTTAGCTTAGGCTATGTTTGCACATATCCGGTACTTCTCTTGTTCTTTTGACAAAAGTATGACATGGCAAAATTAAACTTTCTGAGAATTTCCTGGAGTACAGTTCTTTTATGTTGACTGAAGCAAGATCCATATGCCTTTATATACCCAACCTTGTTCAGCAAATTAGCCTTTGTTTTTTATTTTTTTGAGGACTATCACTTTGCAAAAGTTAGCATTCTTGTTTTATGTCATCCTTACATGTTTTTAAATAAAATGTATATTATTCTAACTCATAGGCTGATGTATGCGAACCAAAATCATGCTTTTAGAGGAGTCATGTTTTAGCAGTGACTTAAGACTCTTACAGATAATTTTCTCATTAGGTTGCTTGTAGCTCTTTTTTTTTTCTTTCTTCTTTTTTGAGACAGTGTTTTACTCTTGTTGCCCAGTCTAGAGTGCAATGGTGCAATCTTGGCTCACTCCAACCTCCATCCTTGGGTTCAAGCAGTTCTCCTGCCTCAGCCTCTCGAGTAGCTGGGATTACAGGCATGCGCCACCATGCTTGTCTAATTTGTATTTTTTAGTAGAGACAGGGTTTCTCCATGTTGGTCAGGCTGGTCTCAAACTCCTGACCTCAGGTGATCTGCCCGCCTGGCTTTCCCAGAGTGCTGGGATTACAGGTATGAGCCACCACACCTGGCCTGTAGCTCCATTTTTATAGTTTTTATACCTTTGAACTCATCTAAGTCTTGAATAAACCCTGCAGCCTTATCTGAGTTCTAAGGGACTTCTAGTTCTTACTTATCTGCTTTTATTAGAATTCATTCTTTGAGAGTTGGTTATTATGTAGTGGTTAGGTATCTCAATTCTGAAGGCAGACAGACCTGAGTTCAAGTTCTGGCTTTGCCACTTACAGCAATAAGACTTTGGTCAAGATATTTAACCTCTATAAGCCTGTTGTTTTCCTTTGTAAGATGTGAATGATAATGAAACCTTCTTCACAGAGTTGTTGCAAAGATCACATGAAATATGTATGAAAAGTATTTAATTAAGTATCATTTGATTCTACCATTTATAATATGCCTCATTTCTTTGGCAGTATCTTGGATTTGGAACACCATCTAATCTGGGGAAAGGCAGAAGGGCTGCAGCTGCTGCAGACCTTGCTAATCGAAGTGGGGAATCAAATACTCACCAAGACATTGAAGAAAAAGATCGGTTATTACGTCATGTGGAAGCCAGAGATCTGATTGAGTTTGGCATGATTCCTGAGTTTGTGGGACGGTTGCCTGTGGTGGTTCCATTGCATAGCCTAGATGAGAAAACACTTGTACAAATACTAACTGAGCCACGAAATGCTGTTATTCCTCAGTACCAGGCCTTATTCAGCATGGATAAGGTTAGATGTTTATTTTTTGTACTTTGTTAATTTTTAATTTTCTTGCTATTGAAATTCTACATAAATTAACCTAACAACAAAAACAAATTCTGCTCATTTAGAACACCAGCTTATTCCTTACTAAATACAGATCTAGGTATCAAGGAAGGCATATTGTGTTATGTTAGAATTTAGGAGTTGGCTTTATTTCTATGAATTAAAACCATCATTGTAGCTTAAATCCCAAGAAAAATAATGCCACTAGCCTACTCCAGTACCTCCAAGCCAAACATACAGGATTGTCTTGTCCTTTCAGCCTTGACATTCTAAATACTTTTGTTGTGACATAGTGTATTTTTGTATTCTTTTGCCCAAATAGAGATTTATTCGTCCCACATAAATGTTTCTGTAGCCGAATACCTAGCGGTCACTCTAGCTCACATACCCAATCAGATAAATGGTTTGGGTTTTATGAACTTCGTGTCTCTAAATATCAGTCTCCTTCTCTCCATTGCCCCTGCCTCAAGTCAACCCCTTTGTTATTATTCACCTTGACCCACGCATTTAGTTCGTAATTGGTCTGCCTGTCTCATGTCTGTCTGTGACTACCACCACCAAAATATCATGATCTTCCTCTTTACTTCCAGAATGGATCATTGAGCACAGTGTCCCAACAAATATTACTAAGTTCTTCAACAGTTATTGAATGAGTAAAGACAAGGCTACTGTTTTTACTCCCTTGCTCAAAATCCTCCAGTGGTTCCCTAGTCTTATTTAGATGCCTCCCCCTTTACTGCTCCCTGGGCTCCATGTGCATACACTGGACTATAAATGCTACTTTGCTACTCTGTCATCTGTCACCCCACAGTAGACTGCAAGTTGCTTGGCAAAGATGATGTCTTCATCATTAAATCCCTAGTATGAAACACACAGAGGTTTAGTAAATGTTGAAAAAAATCCTAGGAGTCCGTGTCAATCTAGAAAACTTCATGCTTAAGAACAAACATGAGACTCATAATACTGATATTGTCTCAGGTTAATTGATAAAAACAAGTGCTTCTTGAAGGCAGGGTTCTAAAACACCATGACAGATTGTGCCCTTACTTAATGATACATTTTCTGGAGGTAGAAATTAACAACTAAAAGTTATAATTTATTTTTAATGTATTTGTAGTGTGAATTGAATGTTACTGAGGACGCTTTAAAAGCTATAGCCAGATTGGCACTAGAGCGAAAAACAGGTGCACGAGGCCTTCGGTCCATAATGGTGAGTTGGCATTATTCTATAAAAACTAGATTATTTCTTGGTCTGAGTTTTGAGAATATTAAGCTTCTCTTTGTTTCTTTTGGAAAATATGTCTAGAAAATTGGCATAAAGTTGTTTGTTAGTTTTGGGGTTTTTTTTTTTTAATGACAGAGTCTCAAAGGAGTGCAGTGGTAGGATCTTGGCTCACTGCAATTTCTACCTCCCAGGCTCAGGCTTAGGCTCAGGCTCAAGTGATCCTCCCACCTCAGCCTCCCAAGGAGCTGAGACTATAGGCAAGAATCACCACACTCAACTAATTTTTGTATTTTTAGTAGAGACAGGGTTTCACCATGATGGCCAGGCTGGTCTCAAACTCCTGACCTCAGGTATCTGCAAGCCTCAGCCTCCCAAAGTGCTGGGATTACAGGTGTGAGCCAGTATACCCGGCTGATTTTTTTTTTTTTTTTAAATCACACTAGATTATATTTTGCTTTTTTTCAAAAATGAACTTTCAGATGTTTGTAACAAAGGACATATACATAATATGATTAATGAAATAGAAAATCAGGATTGGGCCTGGTAACTCACACCTATAATTCCAACCCTTTGGGAGGCTGAGACAGGAGGATTGCTTGAGACCAGCCTGGGCAACATAGAGAGACCCTCATCTCTCAAAAAAAATTAAATCAATAAATAAACAGGCTGGGCGCAGTGGCTCACACCCATAATCCTAGCACTTTTGGAGGCTGAGGCGGGTGGATCGCCTGAGCTCAGGAGTTCGAGACCAGCCTGGGCAACGTGGCAAAACCCCATCTCTATTGAAAATGCAAGAAACCCGCCAGACGTGGTGGCGCGTGCCTGCAATCCCAAATATATATAAAGATATATATATTTGTTGTTGTTTGTTTTTCCTTGAGTGAATGGATTCCAATTTGTATTTATAGAATAAAAGCATTTGTATGTAATCTGTTTCAGTGTGATTCATTATTTTTTATCTCTTTAGGAAAAGCTGTTACTAGAACCAATGTTTGAAGTCCCTAATTCTGATATCGTATGTGTGGAGGTTGACAAAGAAGTAGTAGAAGGAAAAAAGGAACCAGGATACATCCGGTAAAGTGTATTTTCAAGCCAGAACAAATATAAAATTTAAGATCAGCTCCTCATTGCTATGTTTGTTGGTTTGTCATTTTAAAATTACATAAAAATTCTTATATTTGTAAGGGAAGCAATAATCTCAAGTTTTCTTTAGAAAAATCTAATTTGGGTTTATCAAATAATATTATTTTGTGAGTCTTTGAAAGCTGATCTTCAGGCCGGGCTTGGTGGCTCATGCCTGTAATCCCAGCACTTTAGGAGGCCAAGGCGGGCGGATCCCGTCTCTACTAAAAATACAAAAATTAGCTGGGTGTGGTGGCATACACCTGTATTCCCAGCTACTCAGGAGGCCGAGGCAGAGACTCGCTTGAACCCAGAAGGTGGAGATTGCAGTGAGCTGAGATAGCACCACTGCACTCCAGCCTGGTGACAGAGTGACACTTAGTCTCAAAAAAAAGATCTTCAAAATTGCTCTCCACCTTTTTCCCCTAAAAGGAAAATGTTTTAAAAGAGACATAAAAATAATCCATCTATAACATCTGTTCCAGGAAGAAAAAAGGAAAAAAAAGTAATCCAAATGAGATTAAAATGAACTTTGCTGCTAATTCTCTAAATTTATTAATGACTTGTCTTTCACAAGACCAAAACTGTCAATTTTTTCTCAGTAGTAGCGTCATCAGTTGAGAAATTCAACACCTTTTTCACCTATGTATTTATCTTATTCGAAGGGGTCAGCAAATTGCCTCATAAAGGGCTAAATACTTTAGGGCCATGAGGTCTGTATTGCAACTACTCAACACTGCTCTCATTGCAAGAAAGCAGCTGTAAGACAATACATAAATGAATGATTATGTCTGTGTTCCAGTAAGACTTTATTTACAGTAACAGGCAGTGGGGCTGGACATAGTGGGTCACGCCTGTAGTCCTAATACTTTGGGAAGCTGAGGCTGGGGATCCCTTCAGCCCGGGAATTCCAGACCAGCTTGGGCAACATAGGGAGATCTGTCTCTACAAAAATAAAAATAAAAATTTTTTTCTTGATTACGTATTCCAGCTACGTGGGTGCTTGTGATGGGAGGATCGCTTGAGCCTCGGAGGTTGTAGCTACAGTGAGCTGTGATTGCACCACTGCACTGCAGCCTGGGTGACAGAGTGACACCTTGGCTCAAAAAAAAATAACAGTTTTTAAAAAGGCAGTGGGCTGGGCGTGGTGGTTTATGCCTGTAATCCCAGCACTTTGGGAAGCTGAGGAGGGTGGATTACCTGAGGTCAGGAATTTGAGACCAGCCTGGCCAACATGGTGAAACCCCATCTGTACTAAAAGTACAAAAATTAGCCAGGTATGCTGGCGGGCGCCCATTGCCCCAGCTACTTGGGAGGCTGAGGCAGGAGAATCACTTGAACCTGGGAGGAGGAGGTTGCAATGAGCCAAGATCGTGCCACTGCACTCCAGCCTGGGCGACAGAGTAAAACTCGGTCTCAAAAAAAAAAAATTAAAAATTAAAAGGCACTGGGCTGGATTTAGCTAGCAAGCGACAGTTTCCTAACCCCTGATTTATTATGTAAATACTTTATTATACAATGCTTGACATTAATGTCACCTACACAAAAGTTAGTTTTCTGTTTAAATCTGGTATGTTATATTTTGTTTACTTCTCTTTCAAGATAACTTTGGAGGCAGTTGCTTGGGTTCGAACAACTTAGACCAGAGAGACATAACCTTTTATTTTTATTGTTGAATGACATTGATATGTGGCTTTTAAAGGAATTGTGGTAATCTGAATTATAATATTTACTAATTTGAGACAAGATGGATTTGGTCAGAAGTAGTTACCTTCTTTGCCTTCACAATTGAAGCCATGTTGTCCTTTTTTTTTTTTTTTTAAGTAAGTTGTCAGGGAAAATGTTGGGAAATTTATTTGCAACTTTTGGTTGTATAGTCTGTTTCCCATATTACTAAGTAATTTTTTTTTCTTTTGAGACAGAGTCTGTCTCTGTCACCCAGGCTGGAGTACAGTGGTATGATCTCAGCTCACTGCAACCTCCACCTCCCTGGTTCAAGTGATTCTCCTGCCTTAGCTTCCTGAGGAGCTGGGATTACAGGCGTGCGTCACCACACCTGACTAATTTTTGTATTTTTAGTAGAGATGGGGCTTTACTATAGGTTAGCCAGGCAGGTCTTGAAAATCTGACCTCAGGTGATCCGCCCTCCTTGGCCTCCCAAAGTGCTGAGGTCACAGGTGTGAATCATGGCGTCTGGCCTAAGCAATATTAATATTAAAATTGCTCCAGCCAGGCACAGTGGCTCACAGCTGTAATCCTAGCACTTTGAGAGCCTGAGGCAGGCGGATCACGGTCAAGAGATTGAGACCATCTTAGCCAACATGGTGAAACTCCGTCTCTACTAAAAATATAAAAAATTAGCTGGGTGTGGTGGCGCACACCTATAGTCCCAGCTACGTCGGAGGCTTGAGGCAGGAGAGTCACTTTAACCCGGGAGGTAGTGGTTGCAGTGAGCTGAGATTGTGCCACTACACTCTATCCAGAGTGAGACTCTGTCTCAAAAAAAAAAAAAAGTGCTCCTAACATTTTCTATTATTGTGGCTTTCTTAGCTAGGGGGGCAACTTTACTGTTTTGACTTTAAGGATCATGTTTACCTTCGTTTATAATTTTTAAAAAACATGGCTTTTCATTGTAGGGCTCCAACGAAAGAATCCTCTGAAGAGGAGTATGACTCTGGAGTTGAAGAAGAAGGATGGCCCCGCCAAGCAGATGCTGCAAACAGCTAAACTGTAACACTGCTGTCCTGTATATACAGCTTTTCCTTCTTTTGTTTAGGATCATAACTGTCTCTGCAGTCTGATATTAAAGGCATTGGATCTATCTTGGATATCATACATGGTCAGAGAAGCCTTTAGGATAAGAATCAGATCATGTATATTATTGTAACATCACAGTGATTTAACAGAGGATGTTATATGGACTTTAATTACACGGTATTTAGACATAAAATGTACATTATTTTGGTTCAGTTTTTTAAAAAATATACTTTAACAAAATTCTTAGGAACTCTTTTAGGCAGTGAAGGTATTACAAAACTGGATTTTACAATAATGTTACTCTACAAATGGGAAAATAAATTCTTTAAAATGGAATATTGAGATACCATTCTTTAGTGTTACCTTTTTTACTCACGTGCTTCTGAAAATATTGGAATTTTATTCATCTTAAAAATTGGACCAGGTAGTTTTCAAGTAGTTAAAAATTTCATTGAAAAATACCCTGAAGAACTATATTTTGATAATTGATCATTGGTTTAGCTGTATTCCTTGTCTTCTTATCTGCTAATGCATGACACTAACTTCCCAAATGGTTCTGTAAAAAAGGCCATTTTCTTACCAACTTGTCTGATTTATTTACCATCTTTTTTTTTTTTGTTTTGAGACAGAGTTTTGCTCTTGTTACCCAGGCTGGAGTGCAATGGCGCGATCTCGGCTTACCGCAACCTCCGCCTCCTGGGTTCAGGCAATTCTCCTGCCTCAGCCTTCTGAGTAGCTGGGGTTAGAGGCACGCGCCACCATGCCCAGCTAATTTTTTGTATTTTTAGTAGAGACGGGGTTTCACCATGTTGACCAGGATGGTCTCGATCTCTTGACCTTGTGATCCACCCGCCTCGAACTCCCAAAGTGCTGGGATTACAGGCTTGAGCTATCGCGCCTGGCCTATTTACCATCTTTTTTAAAGACAGAGTCTCGCTATGTCCCAGGTTGGAGTACAGTGGCTTGATCTCTGCTCACTGCAACCTCCATCTCCTGAGTTCAAATGATGCTTCTGCCTCAGCCTTCGGGATTGCAGGCATGCACTACCCTGCTCAGCTAATTTTTGTATTTTTAGTAGAGGCAGAGTTTCACCTTGTTGGCCAGGCAGGTCTCGAACTCCTGACCTTGAGATCTGCCAGCCTCGGCCTCCTAAAGTGCTGGGATTTCAGGCGTAAGCCACCGCACCTGGCCTTATTTACCATCTTTATTACATTTTAGTGCTCTGGGTGAGTACATGGAATTGAAGTCTGCCTTAAATCTTCAGAAAGATACATACCTATTTTATTTTATTTCTTCGAAACAGAGTCTTGCTCTGATTGTGCCAGGCTGTAGTGCAGTGGCACAATCTCAACTCACTGCAACCTCTGCCTCCCAGATTCAAGCAGTTCTCATGCCTCAGCCTCCTAAATAGCAGGGACTACAGGTGCGTACCATTACAGCTGGCTACTTTTTTTAATTTGTAGCAGAGACGGAGTTTCGCCATGTTGCCCAGGCTGGTCTTTTAACTCCTGAGCTCAGGCAATACAGCCACCTTGGCCTCCAGAAGTGCTAGGATTATAGGCATGAGTCACCACATCCAGCCAGGAAGATACATATCTAATTCTATAAATAGCATGCAGTATCAATCATGGTAACAGCCATGTGCTGACCTAAATAAAATTTCCTGATATTGTGTACTTAACCTGAAGTACTGAACTAGTTTTTTGTTTGTTTGTTTTGCTTTTTGGTGCTGAACATTGGTCTAATTCTTTGGCTTCTTAGAATGTTAATGTCTGTTTTGCTATCAGCCAAAGTAAATATGTTCACACTAACATATAAGTTAATAACCTTCATTATACAACAAAGCTAAAAAGTGGTGGGATATTTGGGGTCTTAATGAAAATTGTATCATTTCCATAAATACTAAAATATGTGGGTACCTTTTAAGCTTTTTTTCTTTCCTTCTATAATGGTGATACAAGTTATATATTCATTCAGTTTAATCTCATTTGAAATTGTTTAAATCAGAGTACATGTAAATATACTTTTTTTGTTTACAGCTTCTTGTACTTTCCTTTTACACAGTTTTTCTTAGGGAAAAACTTAAGCTATTAGGAAATTCTAAATCTTGTTGATGAAGAGTTGGGCTTTCTATGATAGAATAAAAGGGATATAAGGTATTTATGGCTGGGATAGGATCTGAAATGCACTTTGTGTTATAGTGTGTTAAGGCTGGTTGCTATAGTATGGAACAGAAACACCTCTCCTCCTTGGTCTCCCTAGTAATGGTTTGAGTTCTCCCCAGGAAGTCTTACATATTATAAGTATGTTCATGACCTTTCCCTTATAGCATCATTTTCCTTTTTGTAGAGTGGAAATCAGAGTAGCTGCTAAACATATTAAGAGTAATCCTCCAGAAACGGACTGGGAGGCATTTTCATCACAACAACTTACATTTGGCTTTGGAAGTTGTTAACAAAGCATAATCAATGTTTTTAAATCAAACAGAATTTGTATCTTGGAACTTACATTTTGACATTTGAATAAAACAACGAGACTAAATAAATGAAAGCCAGCGTGGTGGTGTGTCGATACTGCAGTGGCGCAGGAGCATTCTGCATTGACAACAAGCACAGCCAAACAGTGCCATTTTTAAAAGGGCACAGATGTCATACGAGCTGTTTCATTCTAAGGATTAGTTAATCCTTGGCACTTCCATATCAGATAAATTCTAGCTGTAGATTCCACAAAGTTTGTTAAAACATTTGTCAAAAATCCTACTTAAATGTCCCACATGGAACTTGACACTAGGGACACAGATCAAAGCTTTTCAGGAATCTTACAGCTGTGCATGATGGCTCACACCTGTAATCCTAACACTTTGGGAAGCTGAGGCGGGTGGATCATGAGATTAGGAGATTGAGAGCATCCTGGCCAACATGGTGAAAACCCGTCTCTACTAAAAATACAAAAAAAAAAAAAAAAAATTAGGGCATGGTGGCGCATGCCTGTAGTCCCAGCTACTCTGGAGGCTGAGGCAGGAGAATTGCTTGAACCCAGGAGGCAGAGCTTGCAGTGAGCTGAGATTGTACCACTGCACTACAGCCTGGGCAACAGTGTGAGACTCCGTCTCAAAAAAAAAAAAAAAAGGAATCTTACTAGTCTTGTAGGGAAAACAAATACAAACTAGAGTATATTTTAATAGTGGAAATGAGATAGGTACCAGGTGTGGTGACAGTGATGGCCCAGATAAGTCTGTAAGAACAAGTAGAAATTTGCCAGGAATGAGAACTAAATCAAAATCTCAGAAGTGGAAAACAACTAGGAAGCCACAGGAGGTAAGAAATAGGCAACAACTGTAATGTCTTGTTAATACTCTGAAATGAGCATTTAAGATTCTCCTCTCTCCACCTAGCTAAAGACATTGCTTCATATTTCTTTTTTCTTTTTCTTTTTTTGCTTCATATTTCATTGCAAAACCATTGATGGAATTCATCATTCCACCATCTATAAATATATCTACTCCATCACTCATCCTTTCTCTCTAGGTACAAAACTCATTCACTCCACATATACTCTGGGTCTCAACATCCCCCCTCATTTATCAAGGCCTTTAGTTCTTTTGGTCATATCTCTACTACAGTATCTGTGTCTTTCCTTCTAAATTATTAGGGAAAAACTTAAGCTATTAGCTATTGTTGCTAATATTAAAATCTCTATTATCTCTAAATTTATAAATTTAATAGTCCTATAAAATGCCAGTCGATTTTAAATGGAAGTCAGGCAAGCTGATTCGTAAGTTCATAGGGAAGAATGGTGAACAGGCAAAATGAAAAAGTACACTTACACAGTGCTTAATGCAACAAATCTGAGGTGGATACTACAATCAAGACTTCTCATAAAGAAACTGAAGCCCAGAGGGGTTAAGTAGCTTTCCTGAGCTCACACAAAGTAATAGCCAAGATTTAACCCCAGGCAGACCAGTTCCAGAATCCTACATGTAACACACTGAATGAAGAATGAGGAGGGGCTGCCTCTACTAGCTTGCTTTTAAAAAAAAAACGATTATACTGTCACTCCAGAGGAAGTTATAAACAAGAAAAAAATAATTATACTTGAAGTTCTGGGATACATGTGCAGAATGCGCAGGTTACATAGGTATACATGCGCCATGGTGGTTTGCTGCACCCATCAACCTGTCATCTAGGTGTTAATCCCTGCATGCATTAGGTATTTGTCCTAATGCTATCCCTCCCATTGCCCTCTCTACTAGCTTTGTTTAAAATACAAAGTTTTAACAACTAGGTGTGGTGGCTCACGCCTGTAATCCCAGCAGTTTGGGAGACCAAGGCGGGAGGATTGCTTGAGCCCAAGAGTTTGAGACCAGCCTGGGTAACATGGTGAGATCTTATCTTTAAAAAAATTTTAGGAAATTAGCTGGGCGCGGGGGCATGTACCTGTAGTCCCAGCTACTTGGGAGCCTGACCAACATAGAGAAACCCCGTCTCTACTAAAAATAGAAAATTAGCCGGGCATGGTGGTGCATGTCTTATAATCCCAGCTACTTGGGGGACGCTGGAGAATCACTTGAACCCGGGAGGTGGAGGTTGCAGTGAGCCTAGATTGCGTCATTGCACTCCAGTCTGGAGTCTAGAAAAAGGAAAAAAAAAAACCTGGGCCTGGTGGCACGTGTATTTAGTCCCAGTTACTGGGGAGGATAAGGTAGAGGAATCTCTTGAGCCTGAGAGGTCGAGGCTGCGGCGAGCCAAGATTGTGCCACTGAACTCCAGCCTGGGTGACAGAGTGAGACTTTGTCTCAAAAAAAAAAAAAAAAAAAAAAAATTCTCAACAGTAAAATAATCTAACTAGAAAATAAGCAAAAGCCATGAAGAGAGCCTTCAATGAAGAGAATATACTGATGGCAAATAAGCATATGAAAAGGTGCTCAACATAATTTGCCATTAAGGAAGCTCGAATTAAACCAATGAAATATCACTATGTATCTATAAGAATGTCTAAAATTTTAAAAAATAACAACATAAAAAAATGAGATGCAGAGAAACCAGATTACTCATATATTGCTGGTGGGAATGCAAAATAGTGCAGCCACTCTGGAAAACAAATTGGCAATTAAAAAAAAAAACGAAACTTGTAGCTGCCATACAATCCACCAATTGCACTCCTGGGCATTTATCCCAGAGAAATGAAGATTTATGTTCACACACAAAAAACCTTGTATACAGGCCAGGCACATTGGCTCACACCTATAATCCCAGCACTTTGCACTTTGCGAGACTGAGGTGGGGGTGGGGGTTGGATCACTTGAGGTAGGAGTTCAAGACCAGCCTGGCCAACATGGCGAAACCCCATCTCTACTACAAATACAGAAATTAGTCAGGTGTGGTTCATGTCTGTAATCCAAGCTATTCAGTAGGCTGAGGCATGAAACATCTGAACCCATGAGGCAGAGGTTGCAAGCTGTGATCTCACCACTGCACTCCAGCCTGGGCAAAAGAGTGAGGCTGTCTCAAAACAAAACAAAAACCATTGTATGCAAATGTTTATAGCAGCTTTATTCATAATAGCACTGAGCTGGAAACAATCCAAAAATCCTGCGAGGGGCAAATGGTTAAAATATGGTACATCCATATCATGGAATACTACGCAGCAGTAAGACACACTATTGATATACGCAACAATCTGGATCACTCTCTAGAGGATTATGCTGAGAGACAAAAGTAAATCTCAAAAAGTTATATACTGTATGATTCAATTTATATAACATTCTTGAAAGAATAAAAATTATAGGCTGGGCACACAGTGGCTTATACCTGTAATCCCAGCACTTTGGGAGGCCAAGGCAGGCAGATCACAAGGGTCAAGAGAGCCAGACCATCCTGGCTAACATGGTGAAACCCATCTCCTAAAAATACAAAAATTAGCTGGGCGTGGTGGAATGCATCCCGGAGGGAGAGGTTGCAGTGAGCCAAGATCTGCCACTGCACTCCAACCTGACAGAGTGAGACTGTTTTTTTTTTTTTTTTTAATGTGAGACAGACCTTATTCCAGAGTTTAGCTGAGGAGAGGCAGTACAGTCTCCTGCCTTAAGTAAACTGCTTCAGCTTTCTCAGCAGAAAGCGAAAGCTTAAAAGGGGACTTGTGGGCCGGGCGCGGTGGCTCACGCCTATAATCCCAGCACTTTGGAAGGCCGAGGTGGGTGGATCATGAAGTCGGATCGAGACCATCCTGGTCAACAAGGTGAAACCCCGTCTTTACTAAAAATAAAATATTAGCTGGGCATGGTGGTGCGTTCCTGTAGTCCCAGCTTCTCGGGAGGCTGAGGCAGGAGAATTGCTTGAACCCAGAAGGCGGAGGTTGCGGTGAGCAGAGATCGCGCCATTGTACTCCAGCCTGGGTAACAAGAGTGAAACTCCGTCTCAAAAAGTGGGGGGACGGGGGTGACTTGGGTCCAGGGGAAGTGGCTCACACCTGTAGTTCCAGCACTTTGGGGGGCCAAGGCGGGTGGATCACTTGAGGCCAGGAGTTTGAGACCAGCCTGGCCAACATTGTGAACCCCCATCTCTGCTAAAAATATAAAAATCAGCTGGGTGTGGTGGTGCGAGCTTGTAATCCCAGCTAGTAGGGAGGCTGAGGCACCGAGAATAACGTGAACCTGGGATGCAGTTGCGGTGTGTGGAGATCGCGTCACTGCACTCCAGCCTGGGTAACAGAGAGACTCTGTTTCAAAAAAGTGTAGGGGGACGGGACTTGGTTGACATGGATGGCATGCAAGGCGGGGGGGACCGTGCTGTGTCTATGGGACTTACTCCCATGTGTCCATCGGTGATCTGGTTGGCTCCATGGAGGCTGCGAGGGGGCTGGGGAAGGGGTGGGGAGTGAAGGCCGAGGCGGGTGGTGGCAGGGAGTGGGCAGAGCTAGGTTGTAAATTGACAGTTGACCCAGGGGATCCTCTGGTATGGGAAAGTTCCAGAGGTGCCTGGTTTCAAGTCTCCGTCCTTGGAACTAATAAGCAAACACACAATTAGATAAGCTTACAGTGTAGAGAGTGTCTGGTGAAGAGAAGGTAAAGGTTAATTGCATCCTTTTTTTTTCCCCAGACAGGTACACTCTGTCGCCCAGGCTGGAGTGCAGTGGCGCTATTATAGCTCACTGCAGTATTTACCTCCCAGGTCTAAGGTGATCCTCCCATCTCAGCCTCCCCAGTAGCTGGGACTACAGGCACATGCCACCATGCCCAGCTAATTTTTTATATTTTTAGTAGAGACAGGGCGTCACCAGGTTGCCCACACTGGTCTTAAACTCCAGTTCTCAAGCGATCCCGACTGCCTGGGCCTCCCAAAGTGCTGGGATTACAGGCGTGAGCCACAGCCTCCACCCTATAATTGCATTCCCAAAGAGCTAAATTGGAGGTGGGAGTAAAAGAGAAAAGTAAAAATAATCAATTTTTCTAAGAAAATGGGTAGTTGGTCACACTCCTATCTACTAGGGCCTTTGCAGATCCCATCTGCACTGCGCTTCTCTCTCTCGTTCCAGTTAACTCCCGTTAATCT